TGGAGTATTACAAGCTGCCGAAGTGTTACTTTCTTCGTGACGAACAATTACCTTGACACGCAGGTTCAACGAGCGCGCGTAGGCGAGCACATCTTGAGGGACCGTGCAGCTGAATATACAAGTTTGGCGGCCAGTGACGGCCATCCTACCATCACTGCTACAAATCGAAGAGGCGACTGAGTTCTGAGGCGATTGGCGATGTTGGGCAGGAGCCCACTCTTCAGACGCGCCAGTTGAACTAGGAGGAGAGGTGCTGATATCTGCGTCACGTTTGGTTGAAAGCGATGGTGGATTTTGTTGGCTGGTTTCGGAAGAATTGGGAGGCACCGCCGAAGAATTGGAGGGCAAGAACGTCATCAAACTTGTCACCATGTCGGAGAGGTTACGCGCAAGTAATTGATCCATTTCATCCAGGATAACGCAAATGAACGAGCTTGCATCGAAGGTGTAGCCACGAAGACCATTGACGGGGTCCAAAAGCTTGGAGGGAGTGCCAATCAGCAGATGAGGTTCCGCATGTTGAGCGGCTCCTAATGGTTCCGTGAGGTCGTTAGACTGCGAGGCACCGCAATGTACGATCTTGGGTGGATGAGGAAGCAGAGCGGCAATGCCACGAGCGAGGCGATGAGCTTGGGCGGCTTCGTCAAGAGTGGCGGCTATTACCAAGACTTTGACGCTTCCGTTACATTTGACGGGAGCGGAAATGGTACATTTGGTAGATACTTGGCCGTTGGAGATATTCGCATGCCCATTCATCTCATTCACAATAAGTTGTAAAGCCGGAATGATGTACGATTGGATACGCTCTTGAATAGGGTTGGATTGAGATATGAGATCTTTCCCAAGCAGCATATTGGGGATCGATTTCTGTTGTGTCTTGGAGGGGGGGCCAACTCTGGACATCCACCGAAACAATAAACAGCCAGTTAAAATGAGTTTCAAAAATCGATAAACAAGGACAGCTTACCCAAATCGTACGATTGCGCGGAGGACATCGCCGCCGATACCCAACTGTTCCCATTTGCCCGCTAAGGAGTTGACAGGAGACGCGGCACAGGGACCTGTTAAGGTATCATGAGACTGCATATACGAATATACGAAATCAGGTTAACCTGTGACGTTGGGAAGTCAGATCACCACAGACACTGACACTCACCAGAGGACTCATGGGAGCCGAAGAAGACACAGGTGTTTGGCAAGCAGTTGGCGAAAATAGCCTTAGTCGGAGATGAGCGTTGGGACGCGGCTGGGAGGCACCCAGTTGGGAATCAGTTGGATTGTTGTTCGGAGGGAGCGGAGAAGGCAATGGCGGGGAAATGGTCAAGTTTCCTGGATGACGCTGTCCGGCTCGCCCAAGAGGTGGCTGTGGAGCGTTGGCTTTGTTCCCGTGCGAGACGGGGCCCGAATTGCTAGGGTAGAGCGATACCGGAGGTGATGACGGAGTACCATTCGGACCACATGGCGAGGTGATGCGCGCGTTGATCAACGGAAGTGAGAGGTTTGGCGTGACGGGTCCATTAGGGGTAGCTAGAAGAGTGGTGAGAAGTTGAGACATCGTGGTCGAGAGCACGTTGACTTGTTGGGATAAGGAATATATTTGCTCATGTTGAGGTAAGAGGTCAAAAGGTGTCATGCCGGGAGGAGTGATCGATGAAGGTGTATCTGAATCGGGAGCCACCAGTACGAGGGGCGAAGGCCTCTTGAAGTCAACCGGAGTGGGAGGAGTCATGGGTGCCGGTCCGGGGACGAATGGTGGGGCGTTCTTGTTTAGGGAAGGCTTAGGGACGAGCAAACCCTTGAGGGACTCCACCTCCGTACGCAAAATCGATATTTCCCGTTGATAAGCGTCATGGATAGCGGGCAAGGATGCTTCGAGTTTGGCAAGCCGATCTTGAAGGGAGTTCGGACCAGTGGGGGTGGCAGGGGAACATCCGGGAGGGGACATGAGGCTTGTCACCAAAGATTCTGAAAAATGACGGGGATTCGCACTGGGGCACAAGAGATGGATCAGATCAGTGGGTGATGTTAACTGGGGATAAAGACAAGGAAATGAACCCACATGGAGGTCTGATCAACAAGACCCACGGGCTTCTTAGAGTTGAAGTGAGGCGATGGATATCTCGAGTGGAGAATAGGTTGGTAATGAGGGGGGCGAGACTTAGACGGAACAAATGATGATGCCATCGGGGTTTTAGGTTTTATTGAGTACCAGTTCCTGTTTGGTGAACGCTAACGGAACTAGTGGCTACAAGGCTGTTTGCCAGTGGTGGAATGGGCGCAGTAACGTATACAATGGAGTCAACAAATGTAGTCAATAAACAAAATACAACGAGAGCTCAGTGGCGGCGGTGGAGGGAACGTGGTATGAGCCTCGAAAAAGGAACAAGTGAGGGAAGCGAGCGTAAAGGGAACAATAGGGAATCTGAGAATCCGTAACAGGCCCAAGTTTTCTAAGGTCGAGGCTCAACAGCAGCTTGTCTACGGGTGTGTTCGCTGCCGGTGTCTGTGAGTCTCAAATATTTGGAGGAAAAGATTCAGGCTGGGGGAAACCTGAGGAAGCTGAGGATAGGAAGGACTAGGATTTGGACCTTTCCCCAGATTGTTAAGCTCCTCTTGTATATGTATGTACGTAGGGAGCAGGTTGGGACGAGGGGTGGACTCCAAGAGGATTTTAAGTCGGATAAGCGTTGACTAAGCTTTGAGGAAGGCCTTTTGCGCTTTTATAGCTTGCCTCGATTCCCTCACTTCGCGAGAGAAGAATCAAATTGTGGATTGAAGAGCGTCGGAATACATCGAGACACCAGGCGGCACGGCACCATTGCAGACGATCACGAATCGACGAATCAACATGGAGCGGCAGGGAGTTCAGCTCTCCTCTTTAGCCTGAGGGAGTGATGTAATTTGAACCAGAGATCAAATCATAGGCTCGTACATAAAATTTTGGAAGCGAGAAAGCAGGTGAAGAGAACGCTCTTCGGCTGAACAAGCTAGCGTACCGCCATCCACGATCTTCAACTTTCTCAAATACAATGACAAATATGTACATCCTTGAGTTCAAATTCAGTGGTGGTGGGCGACAGGACGACTGTCAGCTATTATCCAATTGAAATATTGACCTTTCCCACGGCTAACACGAGATGTGCCTGTACGGGTGCCGTTGTACTAGGAGGACATCATGAACCGTGCTGAGTCCTCGGCTCGGCGAGTGGACCACTGGACATCAATACTGCTCCTGTCCTCTCGACACGAACTACAGACTACGCCCTTCCTAAGGTCAGAAGTCCTATACATCTGTATGTACAACCATTTTCCATCATTCTTTCAGAGCGGAGCTGAGCGGAGGCCACCTTACAGAGAGTACAAACAAATCATTACATCCAGAATTGAATTGAATTTGAGAGGTCCTTTCCGAAGGCTGGAGTGGTATGGTTGGTTCAAACAGGCTTGACAGAACACCATGGGTCCACAACAGACTGAATTGTTTGTATTACAGTTTATTGCCTCTCATGGCTATTACCCCATGTCACATACGTCTTCCAGCTTCAATGACTCTCGTTTTGTTGTTCAATTGTACGTTGAGGCTTTGAATCACAGAACTTCCATAAAGTACTTGTGGTCCTGTACCTGGAGATTGTGGATGAACCAGACAAACCCTTTTGTACAGGATCTTGCAAGGATTTTGGAAAGTATGTATTGCTTGTCTGTCAAAAACTATGAAGTCGCTTGAGAAGTTGAACTTCAAGTTTTGCTTGAAGTTGCAACATAGCTATCAGCGAGGCCACCGGCAGTCGGATGTGACTGGTGGGCTGATGTGAGCTCTAACGAGTTTACTGCTGGATATGTCCAGAGGTTGAAAAGTGTTGTTGAAGCTGCGGCTATGTACATGGAAGGTTGGAGTTCTCCGCGGGGGAGGTTTTCTTTTCGGACTCAACCATTTTATCGCCCCCGAACATTTATGACGCAGTCCCCGCTTGGCTAAATTGCGGGTGACAACCCACCGACTGTGACGACCGACTCTACCCGGCAAGCGAAGGCGTGCAACTTTGCTTGATTGGGTCACCTGCGTGTCGTCACAATTGGGTGGTCTGCAGCTAATGGCGCGGCCAGGGGTATGTATGGAGTTATAATACCAGCGCTGGAATCTGTGTCTACAACCTTCCATGAATCCGTAGCTCTAAATGAAAATCAGCGTCAAAGTCAAGAAAGACCCCAAGTCAAGATTACATAAAACTTCACAAAAATCATCATACCACCTACATGTATTTGCAGTCCAAACAGGACCCAGGAAACCCCCGGAGTATGTCAGTAACATAAATGTATGAATTTTTTCAAAAAAAAGCCAAATCATACGCACAAAAGTGGTATGAATCGGTTTGGCCGGCAAAAATGTTACACACAAAACACAGTTGAAATGTATGAAAATTGCCTCAACGTTGAGCAAAACCCGCCAAAATGTCTAGTCCCCGCTTTTTCGGGGGGATTTTTTCACTTTCCGGGGGATTTTTCTTCAGGCATACGCACAAAATGTGTATGAATGGCCCTGAAAATGCCAGTCCCCGGTGCCCCCCGATGTATGAATTTACCAAAAATCCAGGGATTTACATTACTGACATTTTTAGGCGGTTTCCTTAGGCGGTTTCCTGGGTCCTGTCCAAACAGATTGGCCCTGTGAGTTGGCAATTCATTGAATGTCAGGAATCATTGGATATTATTGAACTGTGAATTTTATCAAATCTGTGGACACCATCAAAAAATTAGATGCACCCTAGGAAATACACTTGGGGATGGCAAAAACCAACCATGCCGCGCCCACAAAATCAAAAATTGATAATCAGGGTCTATGCCCTGGGGGGGCATGTACCCCAATACCTATTTCTGTTACAATTTTGAACTCCTACAGATGTGTAGAGTTGAAAATTGTAACTGCTAAGCTTCTACTGCAGTGGTTCTTTTTTTTATTTGTGTGACATACATGTATCTGGACATGCATACAATACTTAAACCTGGTTTACGTTAGGCTTATTCATGGTTTATACCTCTCAGAGGTCCTTCAAGCACCTGTAGCATCAACTTGGAGTGTTTCTTCAATACTCCAAGCCAGTTTGTTATCACTCTTTGGCCTCAAAAGGGCTTCAAAACCATGTAAATTCCAAAATAATTCTGAATTTTCAGCAAAGATATTTGGACACCTTCCAAATACAGGGTTGGTTTTTGGTGTCTGCAACTGTATGACCTTCCTTATTTTCATCTAGGGGCCTCAGAGTCCAATTTCACCAATCCTACACCCTGACCCTGCAGGTATCTGGCTCCATGCTGGGTTCTTCTAGATCTTTGACATAATGCATTTCATCCTATAATACACCAAAAGAGGGGGGTCAAGCCAAAAAATTCACAGTGAACAGTTGCCCTTGTCTGAGGTGTACAATACAAGGGGATTCCCCATGAAAACCCTCAAGATTTGGGAGTTTTCAGCATCTGACTGGATGCCCAATCTCCCAAGGCTGGTCCCAAACCATGATCAGGTCCACATTTTGAGTGTTTCACACTGGATTTTCAAGGTACAGTTTGGAACCTCATCTTCATCAAACTAGCTCTCAGAGTCACTGAAAATTCACTTCTTGACATCAAACAGTTGAGTGTAAAGCTTATACAAGTTGACAGTTGGAATTCTATAGACAAAAAAGCAGAATTCATCTGAAATTGGAGGACTTCCAATCACAATTTAGAGTGATTTTTAGACCTCTCTCAGTCTTAAATTAAGAACACAATTAAGATTCCAACCAGCTCATGTGAGAGCTATTGCCAGAAGGCTTCAGAAAAAAAATTGATAAAAAATTTAGATAGGGGTGTAAATCAACTTCTGGGAGGGTTGCAGATTGTGACAGGAAGTCATCCAATAAAAGGGCTTCCCATACAAATTTCTGTTCAATGGGTACACTACCTCATTGACCAGAAATTTTTCCTTCCATTCATTGAGGTACACTACTACCACATTGGCCAGAAGATTTTATAATGCTTGCTGTCATTGAACAAAAGGATTTCCTCCCAATCAACAAGGTACAACTAACAACTCTGGGACTGGAAGGACATCCTTCCAGTCAAGTGGAAGGGACTCCCCATGAGTGAGCCTGAGGAGAGTTTCAGGCAGAAAATCAACAGTGGGTCTCTAGGCTAAACCACATTAGAAAACCACCTAGATGTAACCTAGGGACCCCCAAAAAAACCTCCAATACCATAGTGCTAGGGCTGTTAGCTGCTCTACACTAACACTACACTATGTTACATCACTTTTTGTGGAAAACCCCACTAAAAAGGGGTCTGTATAGGGGTAACATAATATATCCTGTGGCTGTCAGCAATAGTGTTATACCACTAACAACCAAAAGAAAATGGCTGTAGTGTTAGCAGTATTCCACTGCACTGACACTAAAGTCAGCATACACAGCTGGCCCACCATTTAGAGATGACTTCAGGTACCCATTGGCTTGTCCCTGCCAGTGTATGGCAGGTAACTTCTGGCGGTTGCGGTGTGGAACTGCTCAGCAAATGAGTGAAGAGCTTGGAGGGGATAAATATTAATAAAACTATAAAATAGTAATAATAATAAATGGGTGTTGATGAGACTGCCCTCCTTGTCTAGCTTGTGAGAGAGTTACACTAAGAAAAAATAATAGTGTGGTAGATTTCTAAAATTTATCTTAGTGAAGATACTACCTGTTGAGGATGTTGAGTTGTTTTTAAGGGTGGATGGAATGGATGGTCAAGAGCTTCTGGAGTTAGGAGATATCTGAGGGGTTCTGGTTTATTCTGGTTTAATCTATTCTTTCTGGGTTCTCTGGTTCAATTCTGGGTCTTTAATAAAGTGAGTCTTTATTTCTTCAATATCTTCTGTTGAGAGTTTGAGGAGAGTTAAATAATTTCCTTATTATTTAAGGGGATGTGGAAATTTAAAAAGTTAATCTTGAGGTGACTAGTCCTTGTAAATCTCATACTTTGCAAAATTGCACAACGTGTAAAGTAAATTGAAATTTACAAAACTTCACTTTCATTCATCCTTTGTAAACCAACCCACCTGCATTAATACCATGTGAATTTGCTCACCAACCCAGCACTTGTTCAGCCTTGCAAAGACCCGCGTACAAAGGCTGAGCACCACAAAAGGTGGGCTTTGCAAACCTGCAAAATATAAACACAACATTGAAATTTACACAGACAAATTTAAAACTCATGCTATCCATACAAAACCCATTACCCAAAAATTGATGAATCATAAAATAGCTATACCCCAACTACTCATTGGGTGGGGCAACCGCCTTGTAGCATTAAAACAACAACAAAAAAGACAAACAGGCCCTGAACAGGCCCTAAACTCGCTCATGAGAGGAAAAAATAATAATAATAACAGATACAGAGTAAGTCGCGGTCCCTTCTCGTTACACCCCGCGGTTTCTTGCAGATCGTTGGACAGCTTTTGCACCAGGGGCATGTGAATTACCTTCGATATTTCCAGGGAGATCAGGATCATCAACAGTCGCCACCATTCCACTCAATCCAGTTGCTGCCACATGGTTTGAATCTGTAGCCAACAACATCTCCTCCTCCTTCCGCCTGTTATTCCAATAGGTGGCTGATATGCGAGCCCAGTCGGTGTCAGTCAAAGGCTCCGGGATGAAATTCTTGTCCGCAAGTTTCCTGGCCTTTGGTCGACCAAGCGGCGCCGTGGTTTTCCTGGACTTTCTGCCAAGAACGCGAGGCTTGGCCCCTAAAGGACAATCTGTTGCCGTGGTTTTCTTCAACTTCGCGTCCAAAATATAAGGCTTGCCCCCCATACAAAGAGATAGCGGAGACACCGCTGGTGATTCCATCGAAAGAGGCCGTGCCTCAGAATTGAGAGGTGGGGCTGACAATGACAGAGTCGAGTAGATTGTATTCTTGTTGGGGCCACCGCCACAATTGACAGCTGAAGTCGCAGGAATGGGAGGAGAGTGAACATCCGATTTGATCCTGCAAAGATGAATCTTCAGGCCCTTGCAGTTTGATTTGACCAGTGGTCCTGTATGTTCAGCATCTAAGTAAACATAGAATAAATATGAATATTGTTAATTGGTGCTTGAGTTGAGTTAATGAAATCAGAGAGACCAATCTGATCACACACCTTGCAGTTCGTTTTCACCATGTGAATGTGTGATTGTTATTGTTGGATTAACCTGGCTCGATTGTCCTTGTGTAAGGTGAGGTAACACAGAATCATAGGTAGCTTGGAGGACAGCCCCCATATTGATGAAAGGAATGTCATCGGCTTTGACTGTGGGGTTGTCACGCTGGATGTTGACAATGCTCTTATTGATAAACACCTTCTCCTTGGGAGTCCATTGTCAAAAGTAAATCATCCAGCTGGTGTGAGGTTGTGCACCGCTAATGCTGCCCGGAACCCGGTCAACCAGCTGTGCAAAACCGGCATTTGATCGGTCATCGTGCATCCAGACAGCAGTGACTCCATTAACATGTCGCAAGACCTTCCCCCAGTAATGAGAATTCCCCCAAAAGCCACGTGAGACTAAGGTGTATTCCTCCCCGGCAAAGCGCACCTTGAATGGCCAATTGATTCTGCCCATGAATTGAATTTGCTCTCCTCGTTGGAAAGCAAGGCCGCATTGACATGAAATTGTAAGTGTGCTGGAGGTGCACCATTGATAACGGAAATCGTGGACTTCTTGTGTAGGTAGTTGGAGGCTGGCGATGGGTTACTGGATTTCTTGCTGTTACATGCTGAGCATTGAAGTCCAGAGATCCCGTTGAGGCCCCCAGTGGTCCATTGATTGATTAGCTCTGCTACATTTGTACAGTCAATTTCATTTGATTGGAACATTTATTTTGTGATGTTGAGAAAACCTAGCTGGCGAGAGCCTTGGGGATGTTGCTGTTTTCCAGGGTGGAGCGGACAAGAGAAGGATCGGTTTTCCTCGACACAAAACAACTTCGGTAGCGTCTTGGACTTATTCTTCTTGACATCCAAGACAAGTTCCATGAATAGATCACATGAGGAAAAATCCCCAGAGACAAAATTGAGCGGGTGAAGTTTCTGGGTCTCCAAAAATATCTTGTTGGACCCGCGTGTTAGGATTGAACGTATCTGTGGACTCTTGCACATCTCGTAAGTTGACCGTGTTGTGAAGTGGGATACCAGTACGAAGAACAGATCGTTTTGTTTTCCGCCAGGTTCTTGGAGCCACAGTGGGTTGTAAACCGCATAAAGCAATTCTAATGCTGCCGCTAGCCAACATCGATTGCGTGTCAGCTTACTGGTCGAAGCCACATAGGAGACATAGGTGGACTGAGGGTCCTTGTTAACATTGGGAGAATTCTTTGGTCTGCCTAACTTGGCACGTTTGAGTGGCTGTTCGGAGGCAGCAAGGAGCTGTTTGGTTGTGTCTGGGGCTCGGCCGTCGTTCCAAGCTGCTTTCTGTCTCTTAGTCGCTTTGTTCCATCCGATTGACTGTGAGATGTTGACTTGTTTTGCTGGAAGGGAGCCGTAAGCAATTGGAACGCCTCGTTGAACTTGTACACAGTCCTTCTCCAGGGCCATGACAAACACGTAGAGCTCAATCATCCCAATCATGAGAGATTTTTTACCCGTGCTATAAAAATATTGAACAGTCCAGTTTGAGTTGTTATGAAATTAGAAGTGAAGCAAATGTGGTGTGTGAAATCAATTGCACTTACCTGAGCATGTAGTAGACTCTGTGCATGCTCTCTTGTGCATTTGTTGTATCTGGAAGACCGTCATCCGTGTTGGGATTGTTGTCCAACATTTGACGCTGGCTGGGAAAAAGCATAGCCTCTATATCTGCCGTAGTCCACCAGTCAATCCACCTGCGCACCTTGGGAAACCGGCGATGTAAGGCATCAATTTTTTTGCCGTGGGTGAGGCCGCCATCTTCATTGCGAAGCAGCAATGACTCGCACATTGATTTAAATAGGGGCTTCAAATCATAGTCAAAAGAGATGGCATGGAGGACAGGAATCAGAATTCGGACTCACAACTTCATCAGCCTGGATCACGGCCCGATTCCGTTTGATTCGAGTGACAGAGGCTCGGAAGTGTTGTTTGCAACCCTTCAGTTTGTTGCGTGCGGTGACCCGATCTGTCCCACCAAATACTTCAAGGTATGCTGATATGAACCCCTCCATTTGAGCAAGCGAGAAATCAACGACATTCCTTGCCAGAGCTTCTCGCTCTTCTACCAATATGTCGGGCCGTATGAATTGTTTGAAAAGAACCACAACATGAATGTGATAGTAGATCTCGGAAAGGCCACGTATCCAGCTGAGCTGTACTGGAATCCACCGGTTTATCTGCTGGCAGTACATTGATGTGGTGAGTAAGTATCCAGACTTGAAGTAACGATAGGTAACATCTGAGATGAAGCCGCCCTGGTAGAAATTTGAGCTGTTTTCCCCATCATTAGTTTTGTCCAGGAGTCGTGCTGCCATCCAGGGGGTTTGGAACGTAAAGTGTTCCTTCCCGCGTCTAAACAAACTGGAAATGACTTCCAAGCCACGTCTTTCACAAGTTTTTGGGGGGTTAGTTGATACTGCTGATCGAAAAGGGTGGAGTAATTGTCCTTTGACTCAACTCATCCCACGTGAACATGTCTTGCATGAATCTGTCACCTGCTCCATCTCTGTCTTTATCAGGGGCCAGGTTCAATTCGCGAAGGATCTGGCGTCAAAGGTGCCGGAGCCGATCCGAATTCACCAGCAAGCCATGTATACTGGCAATACCGTTGTCGGCGTCGTGGGATTTGTCAGGGTTTCCAACCTGTAAATATGTAACGTGAAGAAAGGATTATAAGTAAAATTTTGTTGAATTTGGGTTGAATCAAATCATAAAGTCAGACTATTGAGAAAAACCTTGAGTTGCAGAGCCCCAGCCTTAGGATTTTTGGCCACTTCCAAGGCAAGCAATTTCCTTGCCAGGCGGTCGGGTTTCTTTGAGGTTGGCCATGGGTGATCATGGAATCCTTGATGCCGCATCAGCCTCCAGCCAGTACTGACTTCATGATCAAACCTGGTTTGAGTATTCCGGCATTCCTTCCATTAGATCTTCCCTGTGCATTCGGCTGCTGGGCAGCATGGCCTACTAAAGGATGGCAATAAAACAAAACATCTGCATCATTAAATCATTATATAATAAAAGAAGAATCCTTCAAAGGAACGTATTGAGACTTACGTGCGCAGGAGCTCCTCAATCTTCCCTTGGCCTGTAGGGGTGGGTCCAGCGTACTCACAACCTTCGCAATCACAGATGATAACTCCGAGGCAGTGAGCACGAGATATTTTCCAACGGCCGTCCTTCGAAATTTCAGATGAGGTGGTCTTCAAATATCCTACTGGACCAAAGTTGGTAATCTCGGTGCCAGGTTGTAATACAAATGTGGTGTTGTTGTTGGGATAAAGTGGGTAGCCCTTGGTGTCAATGATACAATTGTGATCAATAAATGTTACTTGATCTTTGGCTAAGGGAAATCCCCAATGATTTGGATGGTGATCTGGAGTTGCAGGGGTTGGTGCCGACGGTGTGGGAGATGGAACTAGCATAATGGCTATAATTGAAGGGCTTGGAAGGAATTTGAGTATATGGTTTTATAAAGATTATATGTTGATTGAGCAAGTAGATGGGTGATGGGCAGAATGATAGGAAAAATTCTGGACAGAGGATATTAATGATGGAGATGGACGATACGCAGAATGACAGAGAAAAGATTAAAACAGGTTTTGAGAGGGGGTGTGGATGAGATTATTGGACGGGGATGGGCTGTAAGGAAAATGTTAGAGAAAAAGATGAAGCAGATGAAGGGAGAGAGAATGAACGATTTGGTTGGATGAGGATGGACAGTGGGTAGAATGTTAGAGAATAAATTAAAACGGATCACGGGGAGGGAATGAACGAGACTGATTAGCAATTAGGCAGGATGGTAGGAAAGATGGAAACTGAGGATGGGAGAATGAACGGACAAGGTTAGAGGATACATATAGGCATGATATGGGAGATGACATTTTTCTTCAAGGTTGAAGTTGGAGGGAAAAAGAAACTCTTTGCAAATGGCTATCTGTGAAATTCAACCTCAGGGTAGGTATTAGCACATTTAAATGGCCTAGTGAGGGACATTGTGATCAATTAGGCGTGAAACTGTCTATGCAGCTCCAGGGGTGGAAATTTGCGAGCACGGATTTGCAGGCTCGACTTTCAGGAGGGTAATTTTCGATGTTTTGGTTGCAAATTTATATTCTCACAACTAATTGTGCAGATTTACAACCCCTTAGTTTCACAAGGACTTGTCATTTCAAAGTTGACTTTTTAAATTTCACAAACCCCATTATTTAACAGGGTTCAACAAAGGGATGAGGAGTAAGGGTTTAGTAAATTCTCTTATTACTATTCTGTACCTGAAATATAAGGGTTGATGAAAGCTAAGTAATATCTCTAATTACTATTCTGTAGCTAGCATGGGGAAGAAGGAAGGAAAACATGGGCCAAGAGGGCCTCTATTTATAGACAAAATCTCTGGTGAGGATGGTAAACAGCTTCACTGATGAGAATGATTGGTCTGACTGAGTAATGACCTCATACTGCTAATTTAATGATGTCATGATGATGTCATGCTATGAAATTAATGATTTACAGCTGTGAAATTAATGATGTGCAGCTGTGGAATTAATGATGTACTGTTGTGAAATCAATATTCTGCTGCTATGTTGGTCAATGATGTCATCTGTGTGATTAATGATCTTCATGTTGTGAAATAATGGTGAATGGCTGTGTAATTAATTAAATGGCTGTGTAATTTAATTAAATGGCTGTGTAATTAATTATTAATGATCTACTTAATTAATTAATATGATCTACTGGATGATTTTATGATTGGTTATTATATTATTCTGTTCCCTCCTGAATGGTTTTCAGCTTTATAACATTATATTATTTCTAATTCCTTCTTGACCATTCTTGTTATGTTGTATGATCTGTTTTGTAATTATATTTATACCTTTTAATCTTCCTTATATGTTTTATACCTCTATTCTGTGAAGTGTAATTATATATGAAATAAAATATCAAGAAAAATGACTATGATCTGGGAATAAAAGGCTGTAGTATGACTATTTGATATTATTACCTGCTTTCTTGAATTTATATTTACTATTTTAATATTTTTAATAGGGGCTTGGAAAAACGACTCCCAAATTTTAGTCGACGACTCCTGTTTTGGTTGGGAGGTCGTCGGACGGGAGTCGTTCTTCCAATTCCCGGGAGTTGTCGGCCTAATTCCACAGGCGATTTTTTATTTTTTTTAATTGAAAATTCGGGAGTCGTCCGCCTAAAAGGCGGGAGTCGGCACCCCAAATTTGATTCTTTTTTTTTTCCTTGGGAGTCGTCAGGTTAATTTCCCCAGACGAAAGGAGTCAATTGAGTCCAGCGTGGTGTGAAATCAAAAAACAAAACCAAACATT